GCCATCAGCAACCCCTTTATTTACCTTTCTTCAAAAGCCCTTTTTTCTATTTGGTTGTTTTTCCATTTATTTATGGAGACATCAAGTCATCTTTATTCTAATACTAGTTACTGTTTATCTGCTCTTTTTATTTATTTATAATTTTCATTGCCATCAGCAACCCCTTTATTTACATTTCCTCAAAAGCCCTTTTTACTGTGGTTGTTCTTCCATTTATTTACGGAGATATCAAGTCATCTTTATTCTAATACTAGTCACTGTTTATCTGCTCTTTTTATTTAATTATAATTTTCATCGCCATCAGCAACCCCCTTTATTTACCTTTCTTCACAAGCCCTTTTTTGTATTTGGTTGTTTTTCCATTTATTTATGGAGACATCAAGTCATCTTTATTCTAATACTAGTGGCTGTGTATATGCTCTTTTCATTTATTTATAATTTTCATCGCCATCAGCAACCCCTTTATTTACCTTTCCTCAAAAGCCCTTTTTACTATTTGGTTGTTCTTCCATTTATTTACGAAGGCATCAAGTCATCTTTATCCTAATACTAGTTACTGTTTATCTGCTCTTTTTATTTATTTATAATTTTAATAGCATGAGCAACCCCTTATTTACCTTTCCTCAAAAGCCCTTTTTACTATTTGGTTGTTTTTCCATTTATTTACGAAGACATCAAGTCATCTTTATTCTATTACTAGTTACTGTTTATCTGCTCTTTTTATTTAATTATAATTTTCATTGCCATCAGCAACCCCCTCTATTTACCTTTCCTCAAAAGCCCTTTTTACTATTTGCTTGTTTTTCCATTTATTCACGAAGTCATCAAGTCATCTTTATTCTGATACTAGTCACTGTGTATATGCTCTTTTTATTTATCTATTATTTTCATTGCCATCAGCAACCCCTTTATTTACCTTTCCTCAAAAGCCCTTTTTACTATTTGGTTGTTCTTCCATTTATTTACGGAGATATCAAGTCATCTTTATCCTAATACTAGTCACTGTTTATCTGCTCTTTTTATTTATTTATTATTTTCATCGCCATCAGCAACCCCTCTATTTACCTTTCCTGAAAAGCCCTTTTTTTTATTTGGTTCTTTTTCCATTTATTTACGAAGACATCAAGTCATCTTTATTCTAATACTAGTCACTGTGTATATGCTCTTTTTATTTATTTATAATTTTCATCGCCATCAGCAACCCCTTTATTTACCTTTCCTCAAAAGCCCTTTTTACTATTTGGTTGTTCTTCCATTTATTCACGAAGGCATCAAGTCATCTTTATCCTAATACTAGTTACTGTTTATCTGCTCTTTTTATTTATTTATAATTTTCATCGCCATCAGCAACCCCTTTATTTACCTTTCCTCAAAAGCCCTTTTTACTATTTGGTTGTTCTTCCATTTATTTACGGAGATATTAAGTCATCTTTATCCTAATACTAGTCACTGTTTATCTGCTCTTTTTATTTATTTATTATTTTCATCGCCATCAGCAACCCCTCTATTTACCTTTCCTGAAAAGCCCTTTTTACTATTTGGTTGTTTTTCCATTTATTTACAAAGACATCAAGTCATCTTTATTCTAATACTAGTCACTGTGTATATGCTCTTTTTATTTATTTATAATTTTCATCGCCATCAGCAACCCCTTTATTTACCTTTCCTCAAAAGCTCTTTTTACTATTTGGTTGTTTTTCCATTTATTTATGAAGTCATCAAGTCATCTTTATTCTAATACTAGTCACTGTTTATCTGCTCTTTTTATTTAATTATAATTTTCATTGCCATCATCAACCCCTTTATTTACCTTTCTTCAAAAGCCCTTTTTTCTATTTGGTTGTTTTTCCATTTATTTATGGAGACATCAAGTCATCTTTATTCTAATACTAGTTACTGTTTATCTGCTCTTTTTATTTATTTATAATTTTCATTGCCATCAGCAACCCCTTTATTTACCTTTCCCCAAAGGCCCTTTTTACTATTTGGTTGTTTTTCCATTTATTTACGAAGTCATCAAGTCATCTTTATTCTAATACTAGTAACTGTTTATCTGCTCTTTTTATTTAATTATAATTTTCATCGCCATCAGCAACCCCTTTATTTACCTTTCCTCAAAAGCCCTTTTTACTATTTGGTTGTTTTTCCATTTATTTACAAAGTCATCAAGTCATCTTTATTCTAATACTAGTTACTGTTTATCTGCTCTTTTTATTTAATTGTAATTTTCATTGCCATCAGCAACCCCTTTATTTACCTTTCCTCAAAAGCTCTTTTTACTATTTGGTTGTTTTTCCATTTATTTATGAAGTCATCAAGTCATCTTTATTCTAATACTAGTCACTGTTTATCTGCTCTTTTTATTTAATTATAATTTTCATCGCCATCAGCAACCCCTTTATTTACCTTTCCTCAAAAGCCCTTTTTACTATTTGGTTGTTTTTCCATTTATTTACAAAGTCATCAAGTCATCTTTTTTCTAATACTAGTTACTGTTTATCTGCTCTTTTTATTTATTTATAATTTTCATCGCCATCAGCAACCCCTTTATTTACCTTTCCTTAAAAGCCCTTTTTACTATTTGGTTGTTTTTCCATTTATTTATGGAGACATCAAGTCATTTTTATTCTAATACTAATTACTGTTTATCTGCTCTTTTTATTTATTTATAATTTTCATCGCCATCAGCAACCCCTTTATTTACCTTTCCTCAAAAGCCCTTTTTACTATTTGGTTGTTCTTCCATTTATTTACGGAGATATCAAGTCATCTTTATTCTAATACTAGTCACTGTTTATCTGCTCTTTTTATTTAATTATAATTTTCATCGCCATCAGCAACCCCCTTTATTTACCTTTCCTCAAAAGCCCTTTTTACTATTTGGTTGTTTTTCCATTTATTTACAAAGTCATCAAGTCATCTTTATTCTAATACTAGTTACTGTTTATTTGCTCTTTTTATTTATTTATAATTTTCATTGCCATCAGCAACCCCTTTATTTACCTTTCCTCAAAAGCCCTTTTTACTATTTGCTTGTTCTTCCATTTATTTACGAAGTCATCAAGTCATCTTTATTCTAATACTAGTCACTGTGTATATGCTCTTTTTATTTATTTATAATTTTCATTGCCATCAGCAACCCCTTTATTTACCTTTCCTCAAAAGCCCTTTTTACTATTTGCTTGTTTTTCCATTTATTTACCAAGACATCAAGTCATCTTTATTCTAATACTAGTCACTGTGTATATGCTCTTTTTATTTATTTATAATTTTCATTGCCATCAGCAACCCCCT